AAAGTTTCACTTTTTAAGATGGAATGTTGATCTGGTTGATACGATGTTCAAATATCTGGTTGAAATTGGAAATGGCGTGTTTGGAATGAAAGAGCATGTGTTTTTCAGAGACCTAAAGCTAGCTTATGATCAATTCCAAATTGTCAAGAAAAAAAATATTTTAAACGCTGTTCCTACACACATAGCGGATAATAGAGGCATAGGAGCCTATTTTTCTAAAGCCATTTTGGGACTTTTAAAGCTTGGATCTTTAGAAAAACTATCTGCTAAGGATACGTTTTACTGCGAGCTTCCTTATTTCGAGTATGAAGATTGTGTTTGTGATGCTGAAAAGTTCTTTGAATTTTCAGACTCAATTTTGCACTTTTTGAACAACGAAATCGCTTATCAGCCATGCTTTCTAGGCGAAAAGATTCCTCTGATTTCATATCTGGACTCTTTGACATTTGGGGCGATTCAAAAGCTCGAAATCTTTCATTCATCCAATGTCGAAAAAATGGACTTTCTCTACACATTTTTCATGAAAATACGGCGTTTATTGGACTATGAAAATGATCAGCTTATGTACCAAAAAACCCTCATCTTATTTGAAATTTTCAAAACCTACAAAGAAATATACATCAGACATCTAAGGACCTGTCTGAAGAACGATGTCGATTTTGGGATTATCAATGATCGTGTTTTTGAAGGGCTATCGCCTTCTTTTTTCTATTCGAATGAAATCGATCTTCTGCGAAGAAAATTACCAGAATATGTGGGATCTATTTGGTTTTCTCGTAAAGATGGAGAAATTACGTCTAAATTGGTCTCCATATTATTTAAAGGCGGCAAAGATCTTCCGAATCCAGATGAGATGGGAAATTTTTTCAATGTAGATATGATTAAAGATTTGATAGGCTATGCTTCTGACTATGATTATGATCCAGAACATCTTGAAAGGATGGCATATATCTTTACAGTAATTTCGAACCCTATTAGCATTGAAAATTCCAACAATACCGTGCTTCCAGAAGCCTTCTTACTTGACCGACATTATTACAATCTTTTACATATGCTTTGTAAAGTACCACGTCATTATGACGGTGCACATGTTTTTTCTCCAATTGCTCCGTTTGGGTTTCAAATTTCCATTAATCATGAAATCCGTTTTGAGTTAGAAACAGATGGTTACGATAATGCTGAAGAGATTGCATCACTATTGTGGAAAGGAGAAAGACCGCTCAAGTTGATGAATTTGAAGGACAAATTTTCGTCTATTTTTTATTTTTTGAATTATCTTCAAGAAGATCATGCGTTTATTTTATCTGACTTTGGAATGAAAATTCTTTACACTTTCATGCTCAAACCATCGACATATGCTGATGATGACACGAAAAAGGCTCTGCCTCCAGTTATCCAATATTTTTTATCTCGCAAGGAGAAAATACTGGCAGAGATTTTTATAAATCGCGATGACATTGAAATGTTTAGGCTTTTAGCAACTTGCCAGATCATTCTCAATCGCTTGATGTTGATTCAAAAAAGAAACTTCGACATTGGTGGTCTTGAGCATGCTTTCGTGGGGAAATTCCAGCCAATTTTCGCCTTTATCAAGCTTAATACGCTGATACTTGGGGAAAGGGCTGCCGACTTGCAGAAGAGCCATGACCTCTATTTGTCGGTGATATCTAATTTTGAGCTGATAAAGTCTTTTTTTTTCAAGGAAGAAATTCAATATGTGCTTAGGATGTATTATGACCATTGGAAATTTCAATCCTCTAAATCAAGATGCGCAGCAAAAACCACAAAAGGAATCCAAAATTTGGTGAATGGAAATTTCCTGATCGATGGGGAACGCATACAACATTCGGGGCTTCCATTCCCAAGCCACCGTTTATGGGAGATGATGAATGCCAAAGAAAAACGCGATTATAACGTAGAGGTTACGCTACATAAGCGCCAATCTGATGGGTCAATATTCTCGATCCTCAAATTTAACCACATGCATTTCACTCTACATGAAAAAGATGCATTTTTGTTCAAAGAGAATGAGATCACAGCGAGGCTTGTTTCTGAGTATTTAAACCTTTACCATGAAAAACTGAATCTCAGAGTTGCATTCAACAGCAAAATGGTAGGATCTAACGATCCTATCATTGCATTCCAAACTGATTCTGATAATCCGGATAAGAGTGTGTATCTTTTTGATCCAGAAGGATTCGAGTATGGGGAGGTTTCTGGTGGAAATACTTTGGTTTTGAAAAACTCGTCCAAATTCATAGGGGAGTTATCAACTCCAACCCCCTGCTCTTTTCGCATAAATTCGTTCTGCTCTTTCTCTTCGAAATCGCAATTGTTGCTTGATGCCCTTTTAACGCGTGGGGTGCTTTTTAACTTTGCAATGGACTCGTACATTTTTACACTAGAAAATGAGGCGCAATCCTTTTATTTCTTCAATAGTTACAATGGCACAGCAAAAGACTTTTACGTTATGAAGAATGGAAGTGACGAGTATTTTGCAGTTATCAAGGGTGAGAAATTTAGGATTCACCCTCCTGCTGGGATCGAAGGAAATTTCCTCGTCTCCTCAAACTTGCCATTTCTATTTGTGTCCGTTGAAAAGTCTTTTCAAATTATTATTCCTGTACCTATGTTACCATTTGGAAAGTCGTACAAGTTTACTTTTGTCAAGACCACGTGTAAAGATGATCATTTCAACATTGAAGGCCATGATCGAGAGATCGACCTTGCCATCGTCTAT